TATTGGGCTATCCTTGAAGCATGATCATTATCATTTCAAGAATTAAGAACCTCCTAGGGGGGTTGGAGATAGAGCTCAGTTGGTAGAATCCTTGTTTCAAAGGCACAGAGCCCTGGGTTCAATACCCAGCATAAAACAAAACAAAAGATAAAACCTCCTGGGTTTATTTTTTACCCATTAGGGTACTGAGTATGGGCTTTGGAAATGCATAGATCTAAATTATAACTAAAGCTTAACAAAATACCTGCTACCTATCAAGTATAAGCTGTTGAACACCTGTGAGCCTCATTTTCATCTATATAAAATCTGAATGTCAACCTACTTCTTTTTCTCCATCTTTCTTAGGCCTATCTTTTGCCTCTTCCAGCAGATATAACTTTATAGTAGAGTATTTCAATAAAAAATGAGATGCCTATTTCCCAATGTAAATTGGTTTGTGTTTCTCAGAATAATCTTTACCTTCATTGTTTTTGTTTTGTTTTGTTTTGTTTCCAAATGCCCAGGTTAATACTGATGTGCTTTTAAGCTGAGAGAAATTATATGACTTGCTAAAATGTATATTTAAGGTCATTATTTATATGGGGCATTTCATATTATTTTGTACCCTTTATATGCATTATAATTAATATTTTTGGTTATAGTTTGGGTTATTCCTTAAAAGTAATATTGATATAATATTTGTATATTTGTGAACTCATATTGACTTGAATTTAATACACAGAGGAAATAAACAGAAGACATTTTATCCATATCTTTAACAACATTTTTTTCTCTCTCCCTTTCGATTCATGTTTTATCAGATATCTTCTATACAGAAATGTTCTTATTCCCTCATTGATTCTAAGCACATTAGTATGTTTTAAGTCAACTAAAATTTTGTAATGTTTTACCTTACAATAGTAACATGAATGTGAACTAAATTATTTCTAATACTTAAACCTAAACAAAATATAACAAAAATGAATCATAGTCATAATAATTTTGTTGAGACCCTGAGACAAATCCTGTTTAGCTTAGGCATTATGAAGAATTTTTAAGTTATATGTTATTTCACAGTTAAGTATATTTTTTCGTGTCCTTATTCTCATAAAAAGAACACAATAATAAGATATTTTTATTAGTTGGATGCTATAGAAAAATATGCATTTGTTACTTTAGACACACAAAAAAGTGAAATTAATAGGAAAGTTTTATATGTATAACTCAAGCATGGTATTGTATCCAAATTTTAAAGAAGGAAATGAGGAAATCCCTTCAGAGAACTTTAATGGATCAGAATACAATATTTTCAACTATATTTTTCAGGATGCCAAATAGGCATATATTTAATCTTTTTGTCACAACATACCTATTTATAAAACTTAGGTTTAGAAACATTGTATATTGTCTCCTCTAACTAGAATAATTCGAGTTCTGAAATTAGGCCAAATTATTTTTAGTATTAAAGAAAATCATATCAGCTTGTGAAATTCTACATGTGTGAAGCGTGGAGTGACACCGCGTAACACGGGTGGTCTGTCGGCAAACTTCACTGGCTAAGACTAAGTTTACCAGTGGTGGGGAAAAATCAAAGCAGGCAAGTCTGGAGCTTCCCAGAGCATCAGACCATCTTCCTCCCACCACTGAAAAGAGAATCATAAAATATTCATATTCACCAAGATCGGGAAGATAATTCTTTTAACCTCATTATTTTCACGAGATTAAGGTAGTACTTCAAAACACAAATTCACAAATGAGGACAGTGAAGGATCAAATAGAGAGGAAATTTTGAATTGGAACAGAAGCATAGGGGAAGGTCAGAGGCAGGAAATAAGGAAGAAGACAGGAGTCTGCGCTCGAGTAGGTTGACTAAAGGTCAGGAAAACACACACACACACACATTCAGAGAAGATTCTTTCTTCCCAGAAAATAAGAAAAGTCCACCTTTCTTCCCTCTGGTGAGCAGCCCTCTGCCGAGAAAGTGTCTATTATTGCCTCTGTTGTACTTGACACCCTTACTAGCTGAATCTTTCTAAAAACCAACAAGTTTACCTTACGCCTGGCTAAATAGTTGGAATATTATTTTTGGAGAAGTGGGAAAAAAAGACTCCTCTTGTAATTTTTTTTTCTTTTAATTCAGAATAACTACATGCCACAATGGGAAATCACATCTAAAGAAAGTCAGCCTGTCGCTGGATGCATGGCTGAGAACAGATCCTTTCCTGTTTACAGAAAGCACAAGTACCCGGGGCTTGAAAGGTAGTGGAGAAAGACATGAGCAGGGTGAGAGAAACAAGGTGCAGGAAACAAGTCCAGAAATCCTGAAATAAATTACGCTCCTGCACAGTTTTGACACTGTTTATCTTGAACCATATGCAGACAAATGGAGGTCTGCATGAAGAGATTTTTTTCATCCGCACTCATGCGGGCACATCACTTTCCATAAACATCCCTCTGTCACCAAATCCACCCATTGGTGAAAAAAATTATTGACTTGTTTTATTTTGGTTGTTCTTACTTATGAGTAACTTCTTCACGAGAAACCTTCCATTCTCAGAAGATTTGTGAACTGAGATACAATGGCATATAGTAGAGTTTTAAGGAAAACTTTGCCCGGGTGCAAGTCAAATGTCATTAATGTTTGAGCATGGATACAGCTTAGATTTCCAAGAATCAAGTGTAGTATGTGCAACTATGTGCAACGTTAAAGAGGGGTGGAATTACCAGTTTAAAGCAAAGGCACAACTTCTGGTATAAGGAGAGTATTTTGCCTTGCAGTCCTTGTAGGACAAGATTTGGTTGAGTGCTTTCTGGCATGCTAGAGCTTCCCCTTTGTGTATTGTATGCATGATTTAGAAGAAGCTGTGTCAGCACTGATTTATACATTGACAGCTAAGGATAATAAGATATGGGCAAACATACAGCTCACCCTTTTACAGATTAACCTGGAGACTGCATTAGGCAAATTTGATAGCATTAAAAGATTTTGCCAATTTGTCTGGAAACAATTTCTCTTTTGTAGTGTGTCAAGGGTAACACTTCATGCCATTGTTCTAATTTAAATGGCTTTGATAAATTGTTCAAGAGGTTAGAGAATACTAGTGTAGATATATATTTTAGCACTTTAAAATAAAAAGGCTATTAACTTAATTGGTAAATGAATTTAATCTGTAAAACTCAAAAGTGCTCCAGAATGTAAGTGTTTTCTTGGAACCACAGCTGCCATATTACATCATGAGGCTTTAAACGTCTTCTTGGAAAATGAAATTATACTTCTGCATTACTTCCTAATAAGTAGAAATGCTTTAGGCTGTTACAGTAGCATGAGTAGTAGCTATTATTTGGGGAAAGCCTGAGTTTATAAAAGCAATAAAATTGTATCTTCTCCGGGGTGCACCTGTTTTTATATTGCATGTCCTGGATGTACCATTTGCATCACATCAAGGTAGTCTTGTGTATGATTGTGTCTCCTAGAGACCCACTTAAAAATTAGATGTATATTTCATGAGACATTCTCTATGTACATAATTTCTAAAGTAAGGAATCTGAAGGGGCTCTCTGAAAGTCACCAGATTAAATCATTGGTTTAGTCAGTAGTCTTGTGAGAGAAATCACTATTTTATGGGAATGTTTAAACAGTTCTTTAAGAGAAGACCTCAGATATGAATGAGCCCTTTTCGGGAATTTGAACTTGAAACAAGGATGAGATTCATTCATATGATGATCATAACCTTAACCTGTACATCTGTGTTCTCTCAGCAGTGCAGGTAGAGCTGACAACTCACCTATTTCATGAAATGTTTTGTTTCTATCTCAAGTGAAGCATTAAAATAACTTTTGCTTTACAGGAATAATGATATCTCTAAGCATCAAGCTACGGTATTTAAACAACGACTATTTATTTGGAAAAAGGGACATAGTACAGACAGGAATTAGTATTATCTATTTATTCCAATCAAGTAGATTCCTCAAGATGAATACAGAAGTCTTTAATATCAAAAAGAAAGGGCAGTGGGAAAAAAAAAGCAAACCAGGGTAGAAACATCCTCTCTCTCTCTCTCTCTCTCTCTCTCTCTCTCTCTCTCTCTCTTTTAAAAATTAACACAGAGTACATAGACTATTAGATAAAATTCATTTGTGTGAATTATGTATTTAGAATATACCTATGCAGCATTTAAACTTTTTATTATAGTTAAATTTAGAATTTTAACAATTTGCCTGTAGTATGTGTTTCTTAGTGTTTGGGACTGAGATTAGCATCTTGGAGAAAAGCAAATCTCTTATCAATTTCTTAATACATAAACTTATTTTCTTGGAGAGTGATATAATTATGAAAGTTTCTTAACTCAAAAGTGTGCTATATTTATGCTGCAGAGAATTTGCAAATAATGATAAAGAATGCAATTTATAAGAATAGGGACTCTTAATATAAAACAACTGCTAGCTTTCTAAAGTGTATTGAGGTTAAGGATAGGGAGATGTACGGAATGTCATTTCTCTTTCTCGATTTGGAGTTGTGGAAGGGAAACTGCTTTTAAAGGAACGAAACCTAAAAGTACTCTTGCTCTTCCTTGCCAAGGATAGTGAAATTAACATGCAGCTGGGCTTCTCTGATAAATGGATTCTGTTAGGTCACTGAGGGGGTGCATGTGACATTAAGTGATTTACAGTCCTTTACCTTAATGAAATTGTTTCAGCAAGATGACGCTGAAAGCTCTTAATGGATAGCTTTTCTTGATGTAATGAAATTGCATTCCTATGGCATTTAATATAAGGTGCAGTTATTATTTACTGGAGCTTTCCAAGGGCTGCTATTTGCACAGACAGTTCAGAACAAAAAGAGATTTCAGTCGCAGCATCGAGAGTGGCCAGAATGGCTTGTGACATTCTTAAGCAGATGAGTGTGTCTGTGAGAGCATTTCAGTTAGTGAGAGCTTCACAGACCCTTCAGGAGTCTTCCTGTCACCTACCCTTGCTACCGTTTATTCCTTTTACATATATTCTTCTAATCTATTTAACAGGCAACTGGATTACAACCAGATCAGCTGTATTGAAGATGGGGCATTCAGGGCTCTCCGGGACCTGGAAGTGCTGTGAGTATAGCTTTTTGCTCTTACTCGTTTAACAGGAGCTTTGTGTCTTTAGAGTGGTAACATGGGACCTATCTGCTAGTTTAAAACAATGTGTCAAAATGCTGTCCTAGAGAGATACCTTAAATAACTCTTGATGAATACAGAAAATCAAGAAGTATATGTGCAAAATCTTGCATGTCATGTGTATACAATTAGAGAAAATTTCATATCTAAGACTCAAATTGTTCTCTTCATGATAAAAATATTCTCCTAGGAGCCACACGATTTGTGAGGATTCCCCAAATTGCTAAATGTTAACATTAAATGAATTTTGTAGGAACAAGAACATCAAAAAGTAAACCTCTTAGTAACTGATATGTTGGTATATCTTCTAGTTATTGCACAATGAAAGAAGTGTTTTCTCATTTAAAAAACAATTTTTAACTGGTAATTCAACATTGTGTCTGTAAGGTCACTTTGAAATCTACTTTTGATTTTAATAAACCGCTCACTAGGTCCATTTCAAAGTCTTTACTACTGACTTTGTAATGTACAACATACAGAGTTGAATTATAATTGGCATCCTCTCTTTCCTTGCTGGGTAGGCATATCTGACAAAATCAGAGGCAACTAAGTAATCTCTATTGAATTTTGACTTAGTAAAATAATTTTCATAAATAACTAATTAAACAAAATTCAATGTTGATGAATACTGTAGTTACTAAAGCACTACACGCCACCTGTATGTTTCTGAAAATTTTTGTAAAAGATTCGCATTTCTAGATTTTTAAAAGTATAGAAAATATTTTCCTATACTTTGTTTCATTCTTGACACAACTTTCTCAGAAATCCAATTTGAACTAAATGTGAAGGGGTTTTGAATTTTTAGTCCATTTGTTGGAAGTTGTTCAGAAATAACTAACCCATCCCCCAGAAGAAAGGATTTGTTGCTTTTGAGTTTCAGGAATAAACTAAACTAAAATAAATAAATAAAAAAAAAAAAACTAGAATGGCTTATGTTAGAAATATTTTATCTGTGATTTTTATTTTTATTGCAAGTCAATGTGTAGAATTTCTAGCTGTGTCATGTACTGAGCTACTATTTTGATTTATGAATGAATGAATTGATTGAAATAAATTGTGAAATACAAAATTATTTACTAATTTCTAACTATAAGAGAGATCACCTTTATCTGTTGATATCAGTCTAACTTTTTCTATAAGGAAAACATTCACAGTGCTTATGTACATTTTTAGTAATAAGGCCAATTTTCAAATCATGCACCAGAGTCATTTTTAACATATGGAATTCACTCTTGCTACTTCAAAGTCAGAACAATTAGAATGCAACTATGATATCATGGCAGTGGCCTGATGTCAAACTCATAGTCAATGTCACTTAACTTCATGTATGAAGAGACTGCGGCAAGAGTTACTTCATGGAACAGAGCTGATCAAACCAAAGAATCTGTGATAAGTCAGTGCTTCTAACTAGATACATGAATAGTCCCAGTTGCTATGTGAAAAATTTGTTAAATATTTTGGTTGAATTAAATCTCATGAAGAACTTTGTTATTCTTATTAGGTAAAAATTCTTCAAACTTTATTAGGCATGGAATCATATATGTATACATATTACATATGTATTAAGTATATATCTATATTGATGTTAGATATGTATGTAGGGAATCAGGGGAGAACACCATGCCAGGCACTGAAGCCTTTCAATCACAATATAATAACAATATATGTGCTTACTTACTATTGACAGAAATGATTATTTCTGAAAGTAGTAAGGTTTTGGAAATATAATCAACTTGTACAATTGCTTTGGTCATCTTAGCAAAATAACTGAAAGGTGACTTAAGCAAGAACCATTATCATGAAGTATATCAAAACATGACAAACGGAGTGATAACCAAAGAATGATAGTTCACAATATTAAAATAGGATTCCAGAATGATGGGAAATCTCTTAAAGACCTTAATATATATGCCTCAAAGAGATACATCATTACCAGAACCTGTTTGCTGAAGAAAATAATTTAAATTACCAATTGATATAAGAAAATGTGTCTTTTTAAAAGATTTATTTTTTATTTTGAAAATTCAAGCAGATATTATTTTAATATGCATATTAACTTTTCAAAATCTTCACACTTTAAATGACCTTTAGACAAATTAGTTTATAAAGAAATTAAAGCAAAATTGGATGCAGCACTGAAAAAACTACCATTTTGACATCTTAGGCAGTATCTTTCCCTGTGGAACAATGAACAAATAGGATCCTGCACATTACCTTAAATTTCAGATTCCCAATATTTGGGGATTAAATTTATTTTAATTGAATGGACATATGAACATGTCACTATACTGAAGCCAAACAGGAGAAGATGGAGACTCACTCTGGGTCACTGATAGAAATGTTCATTGTGATAGAGATTGTGAATGAAGTTCAGGTAACGAGAGCAAGGAGGTAATTCGGCACTTGTGTGTTCATAGGGAAGTGACATTTCATGGAATTCTGTTTAGGAGAGATAGAAGTTACTGTACATTTTCTTAACATTCAGACACCATCTCAAAAATAACTTTGGAAACTTTTTTTTTCTGGGGATAGGTCACTAGACTCAGAAATGAATTATATCCCTTGACTATATTTAGGATGTGTTTTTTTCTTGTCCAAAATTTGGCATATTTTAGTTGAATTGAAACAGCAATTCATATCCATCAAATACCAAACTTTCTGCCAAGTATTATGCTTGCTTGTCACAAAGGGAATAAGAAAGACTAAGTCACAATCCAAGTGTGAAGGTACTCCATGACTCTAAAGGCTAACATTCTGCATTTACACACCAAGATGTCTTTTGTTCTAGAATATATTCTCATTACAAATAGAAAATCTTGATTTTGAGCATGTAAGTAGACTTACACATGGGTGAAAGCATCCACAAATAAATAAGTTTAACAGTTAATTTCTGTTGTTTTAGAATTGGAATTGATCAAAATCACTTCGTACATGTCCTCATGCCAATAATACAATTTACTTACTAATTTTAAAACTAACTTAATTTTGTCATTTTCACATAGTTTTTAATCTAAAAGGTTCTAGAATTTCCCTATGCTAAAGTGCTGTGAGAAGGCTGGGATTGTATCTCAGTGGTAGAGCGCTTGCCTCGCATGTATGAAGCACTGGATTTGATCCTCAACACCACATAAAAAATAAAATAAATATAGGTATTGTGTCCATCTACAACTAAAAAAAATGAAATAAAGTGCAGTGGGATCTTTTCAACCCTATTTTTGCAATGTCAATATTATGCTCTGCTAGCACAAACACTGAATAAAATACTAAGATAATATATCTCTTCTGTTGCATTATGTGAACTAGTATTTTGAGAAATGATTTCAAATTGATAGTTGCATACTTTAGCATTCAATGAAAACACTTCTTTACATGGGAATTCGAGAAATCATTCTTTGAATTTCATGTGTCCACTATGTATAAGCTACCTTAAAAATATATTCCCTAAGTCATATTACAGAATGCCACATATGCTAAAAATTTTGGCCATATTAAATCAGCATAAATTTGAAGGAAAGAAAACAGGTAATTTGAAAGCAAACCCCTCTGAACATTGAAACAATTGGGGAGATAAATCACAAAAATTTAGAGTTAATAAGATTAAGAACAGACAATTTGTTTTTCCTCTGGAGAAGTCTAGTTGTGATAAGATTGTGGTGGAACAGTTATATGGATGTATCAATAACATGTGGAAATGCAAAAAGAATCTATGAAGGGAAGAGATTGACAGTTGGTTGAGGTGGTGACTAAAGAGGGCACGACCTCTGAAGAAGACAAAAGGTAGGACTGATGGTCCAGGTGGATGAAATTTGATAGTGGAAAAGGGTTTGCACTAGGGTTTGAAAATTTATTTGCCAATGAGGACCAGGCAGGGAACGCAAATGTAAGAAATGGGAACTGGGTATAGAAATGCAATAGGAGATAGGGGCGGGGGAAAAAGAGAAGGGGAGAGAGAGATCAGACACCTGGAGGTGGTGAGGACTTTGCTAAACTGGCAGTGATATCCTGTGTTGTTACGGCCAATGTTCAACTCCAGTGGACTGTCATCCTACTGCAGTGGGAGATTCTGCCAAACAATCCTGTTTTTCCAAAAGAAGCCAGAGTGGAAAATTTCAGATCAGTTCCCCTATTTTTAAAATATTTGCCACTGACTGAAATATTTCAAACAATCTACGAATTGAGTGTATTTGTGCTAAGCTGAATATATGTGTGTGTGACCGCTGCAGACCAGCTGAGCATTGCAGTTATGAGTGGTGGCATATGCGATGTTCCAGCAACATTGAGGGGTTGACTTAAATTTCTCAGTGAATGGGCATATTGGTCACAGACCCATAATATTCATTGACTCTCTTTACCATCCAGTTTTGAAAGATGTGTAAGAACTAACCTGGAGATTTGAATTAAATCACGTAGGAAAAAAATGACTGCTTTTTGTAGGACCTTTAAAAGATAGAATTAGTCAGCTAATGTTCTCCAAAAGCTTCTGGAATTTTCCTATGCTAAAGCAGAATGAGATCTTTTTCCAATGCCATTTAAAAAAAATCCTGATATTTGAACTAGGTTTCTCTTCTCAAAGAATTTTGTTTTCAACTGATCTCTTTTCCCACCCTCAAAATAATAATAATATTGAATAGTAATAAACTAGCAAAGCTCATGTTGGGGAAATATAGGAAAAATGTGAAGCAAGCAAGAGATATATTTATTTTCACTGTAACTTCTTTGACCACTCATCTTCCTAGTATACCTCAAGAGGCCATCATTTCTATCATGCTACACTAAATGGAGGACAATATGTGCTGCTGTGACTACAGCTGTTATAGTAAATGATGGTTTTTTTTAATATACTGCTAGATAACACTGCTTCATCCCCACTTGATGCAAATATGGTGTCCTTCTACCCAAATTTTAGCAGCAGCCAACATCCACAGTAGAGAATGATTAGTGCAGTGTTCTAAGATGACACTAATGGTATGGTGTTGCTGCTATGAGATTTCAGTTGGAAAATTCAAGTGTATTTATTTACCCATGGGCAATATATACATGATACCTCTCCAAAGAAAGGTAACTGTGCAGTTTTTATCAACCATGACTGTCCTGTTAATTCTTTAACCCATTTCGTAAGTAGACATACATGCACAAGGTGCCCAAGGTGATATGTAATTAACCAGGATTGTTCCTAGAAAAGGATTAACCAGGATTGTTCCTAGAAAAGCCATACACTTGTAGTAAATGTCAAATAAAACCAAATATATAGTAATATGTTCAAGAATAAGAGTTGTTATCACTGTGAAATAGTGCATTTTCTATGACTTCTCCACCAGGTAGTTAGCTGTTCTACATGAACATAGTAGAAGTTTTTGACCTATCTAATATATAAAATGTTTAATTTCTTTCATATCTAAAATTTCTAACTTTTATTTTACAGCACTCTCAACAATAACAACATTACTAGGCTTTCTGTGGCAAGTTTCAACCATATGCCTAAACTTAGGACTTTGTAAGTAGTCACAATATTCATGAAGACATATTTAATTGATTAAGGATGTTCCTCAAGGGCGGTTTCTAATAGGCCAAAAACAGGACAGTTAATTCATTATGGAGACAAAAAGGAAAGCAAAACTTTTAAAACAAATCTAGAAATGATACTTTAGTAAATGAACTATTATTATGAAAATTTCCTTTGAAGTGTATGCATTAGGGGTAGCTTGGAGTAAAACAGCAACAACAAAAAAGTTTACATTGAGCTCTTGTAGAGGTCACATTTCATTAAGAAATAGAAGACTCCTTGATTGGCTGTCAAAAATGATAAATGAGAAATCTTTATGATTTTATTACTGTACTGCAAGCAGACCTAATAAAGCTCAACTGCTTCTCAGACATTCTTTGTAATGTAAAATTACAGCATCACCTTCTTGCGCTTTTATAATTAAGGTTGTGTCAGCATTTATATTTAAAAATATCTTTTCAGGGGTTAATTTGGACACTAAGATATTTTTGGTGACTAAATATGATTTTGTAATAAATTATTAGGTATAGTCAACTTTTCTCTTAAAAAAAAAGTATTCTTTAAAGCTCAGGATGGGAGTATTTAGTTGTAGCATTTTCACAGGTAAATGTTATTTGAACTGGGTTTCAAAATCACCTTGACCTAAAAATATATTACATATAACATGTGTGAAATGGTTAAGAAAAAAGCCAAGGCATTGCACTTCTTGAGGATAAAATGTTTTGAAGTCGGGCACATTTGTTTCGATTGGATTTTCAAAATGTTTCTCATCTTATAAAATCTTATAACTGAAAAAAAAATTTATTTTTCTCTCTCTAAAAAAATTTATGGAGGGCTGGAGTTGTAGCTCAGTGGTAGAGCACTTGCCTCACAAGTGTGAGGCACTGTATTCGATCCTAGCACCACATAAAAATAACTAAGTTTGTATATGAGTCCATATACAACTAAAAAAAAATTTAAAATCAGTCGAATTGCTAGCTTCTTAACGAATTCAGCAATAGCAACTTAATATCATCTTTTTCTCACTTAAATCAAATTCTATGTGATAATACATCATTATAGTTCCCTTGGAATATGAGTTAGTAAAAATAAAGAAATTATAAATGTATATGAGCATAAGTAAATTTTGTTTTCTTGGGGCTATCAGATTGAAACTAATATATTTTATTAATAGTCCAGTTCACTCAAACTATAGTTTTAAAACATTAGTTTCTTATTTATATTAGTCAATTTTTTTTTAAAAAAAGGCAACTGATCATATTTTCAGTCTTTGCAGAATTGAAACTTGTAAAAACATCCATTATCTACAGTTCTGATAATTTTCCTTATTTTTTTGTAGACAGACACTGGTTTGTCTCACTGATCAGCTTTTTAAAATTTTATATCCTTTTTCTCATTCCAAATTTATGCACACCTAATTGGAATCATTCAGTGTGGTAGATTTAGAGGGAAACAAGATTTGAAACAAGAATGTGTCACTGTGGCATCCAAAGAGTAGCACTTTGACTTCTAAGCAAACCAAGCCAGAGGTCACCTAGCTTTCCCAAAATATAATGTTTTGTTCAGTGGCATGGCTTCTCTTTTTGATACAAAACAATCTGTTCCCTATCCACAGGCTCAAGGAGAATGTAAAGCAGTCATTTAACTTTAAATCCCCTTGCTTTGGTTGGTTCATTATTCTATACTATCACTGCTACTTAAAAATTCCATTTTTATAGTCCAATTATCTTTCTGGACTGAGTTCCATGTTTTACTATCCATTACTGTTATTGGGTTAGAATTGAACACATCAGCTAAAAAGGACTAAAATGGTATTACTATGTCATAGATGATTCTGGGAATGGTCCTTTGATTTATAGCTTTGAATATCCTTTAGTTTGAGAAAACATAAAAGCCAGTTTGAAGTCATTTACCTAATTTAGTGGATACATTTGTCAGATATTTTATTAATGGAGAAGTGCCATTTGCCACTTGGAAGCAATCCCTGATCTTGTATGGATCTTGCCAACCTAGATGGGATGCAGTTCCTTCTCTCCCAGCCACTTATGCCTTTTAATTTCAGTCTGTGCTCTTTGGGGATAGGTCCCCAAGAGCCAAAATCAGCTAATCCCTTTTCTGTGATTAAACACAAAAAGAAGGAAATCAGAATAGGGATTTGAAAAATAAGCATTTTATATTGAATTATTATTCTGTCTTGTTCAGCAAAAAGTGGCCTGCTAAAAGGACTTTGCAAGCAGTTTTTATAGAGACTAATAATGGCAGGACTTACTGATACTTCTGACGGAGAGTCACAGCTTTTATAACTTGTTCCCTTCCCTGGCTCCCCACTCCCCCGCATCGGATCTCCATTTGCTCTCAGCATGGTTGGAACTGCAGAGCACTTATCCTTGAACTGATTATTTTCTCTTTACCCATTTGAATGAACATAAGCAAAATAATTTTATTGTCCTTTTCCAATTTCTGTGTGTTTGTTTAGCTCAGGATAAAGAAAAGGACTTGATTCTGTGCTTGTGAGCCAATTTAGTTTTTCAAAAAATAATTAGACTGAAGGTTGGTAAGTTTAATCTATTTCTATATTAGGAAATAAGGATATATTATAACTAATGTTTCAAGTTTTGAAATGACTATCTTCTGTTTTCTTGCTTTAATCTTCTTTCCTCTCATTTAGCCGACTCCATTCAAACAACCTGTACTGTGACTGCCACCTGGCCTGGCTTTCCGACTGGCTTCGCCAAAGGCCCCGGGTGGGCCTGTACACTCAGTGCATGGGCCCTTCTCACCTGAGAGGCCATAATGTCGCAGAGGTTCAAAAACGAGAATTTGTCTGCAGCGGTAAGGGAGAAAGAACGAAGATGTTCTAGTATTTCTGGCTGCTTTTATGTAAAGGGATGTAAAGAATGCATGCTTCCAAGGTTTTCAGGCTGTTCACTAACATGTGGAAGCCTGCACTAATCACTCTACAGAGAACTTCTTTTATAGCAATGATAATAATCTGTCTTAAGGTATTTGTACATGATTGGCAACTAATAGTTATTTGTCCCTAAGATATTTCTGATTTTATTTGGGGAAAATATAGGAAATTCCTGGATTGTAGTTCTACTTACAACATTTTATCTTCCCATTAGGTAGCAATTTAAATCTACTTTTATATTAATAACTGAAAAAGGTTTAGCTAATCCTAGACCCCTGCTTAGAAATTCAGAGAAACTCAACTATAAATGCAAAGTGATGAAGTATTTTTTGTGTTAAAAATATATTAATAATTCAGTTTTACTTAAGACAAATACATGACTTGTTTAAGTAACAAGCTGAAAGCAAAAATAAGATGTGCTATGTAAGATAACATGTGGCTAGCATTTACTGAGTTCTGTTTTCTCTGTTTCACATGTAATTATGTCATTTCCTGTCCAAAACAACCACAGGAGAATGTAATTTTATCTATGTGTTAGAGATTAAAATATGATGAAAAATAATCTTCAAGTTCACATGGTTGAATCCAAGGGTCTTGATCTAGTCGGTATACACACACACACACACACACACACACACATCCATATTGGTACATAATGTATTTTATACATATAGGTCTAGTTTTGCTTCAGGAATAACTTGAAGATATAATAAAACAATTTTTATAAAATACATATGTACTTGGCTCTCCATAGCTGTGATTTATTTCTTCAATCACAGATTCAACAAACTGTGGATTGAAAATATGTGGAAAAAAATTGCATCTGTACTGAACATGTGCAGATTTTTCTTGTGATTATTCCCTAAACAATACAATATAGCAACTACTTGCATAGCATTTATGTTGTATTAGGTATTATAATTATTCTAATGATGATCTAAAGCATAACAGAAAATGTACACATATTATATCCAAATTATACATCATTTTATATAAATGGCTTGAACATCCACAGGTTTTGGTATTCACGGGGGTTCTGGAACCAATACCCCAAAATACAAAGGGATCAATGTAATGTATAAATAGTTCATGGTTTCTGAAGGAGTGAGGACACATTGCTAGTACTTTATTCTATTTTATTGTTACCTTTTAGAACTTTGCATGTATTTTTCCATACTTTTTATGATCTAAAATAGTTCTCTTACAATGTTATGAGAAGTTTTCAATAGGTCTGATTGCTTTTTAAAGAATTAAAAAATGAAATGACTAACAATTCGCTACTAACCACTTTTTTTCTCTCTTCACTTTTTCCTCCCTGTTTTCTAGATGAGGAAGAAGGCAAGTTGAACTTTCTTTTCTAGACTGATAACATTGTTGTAGTTTGAGAGGTTGTCTGGAGGTGCAGGGTTAGCAGGTAGCTCACAGCCTCTTGGCACACCAGCATCGCCAAGTGCCTTTCCCCTGCAGGTTGTGAGGGCTGTTTCCGCTTCCTCCAGAAAACCTGTTTGCTACGGTCCTGCTGGCGTTCTGTCCTTCATCTTTCAAACAGAAAAATCTCTTTGCAAAGTAGTTTTGTTTCTAAAAATTAACTAGTAAAATATATATATATATATTTATGGTCAAATTTTAAATCATGTGTAGCAAGCAAAAAGAATAATATAGATTAACAATTGAAGAATGACTTCAGACAATCTATTATAATGACTTCAAAGAAAGCAGTAATTCTGAACCTATTCAGACATCAAACTTAGTATTATCTAATTTCCCTCCCACTTTATTGGCATACAGTAACTTGAGCAATGGTATGTCTACCAAGATGGGAGTTTTACATATTTGTTTCTCTTTCTTTTTTATTACTTTCTTTTTTTTTTGAGACAAAGTAAATTAAACTACATAAATTTGGAAAAAATCAAGCTTTATTTAAGCTTATTAAAAATGAATAGAGATTAATCTGAAGTTGCTGCTTTTTTTGGAACTCAAAACTTTGAATAGAATTCTTTTCTTGAATATGAACTTAGCCTCTCACAATTTTTTTTTCAAATTTTGAAAACTGCCACTTTCATGACCAGTTGTCAAAATCTCATTTGCTTCATCTAATAAATGTAACTGCATGTTTCCTACAGTACATTTTAGAAATAAAGGATGTTTTGTAGTTGAGCATTTAGAGAAGTTTGTTTCTGTCACATATTTTGCTAATTGACCTCAGTTTGAACGTTTCACAATTATGAAATTTGGGAGGAGAAATCTAATCGTGTGTTTCTCTTGTAGGTCATCAGTCGTTCATGGCTCCTTCCTGTAGTGTGTTGCACTGCCCGGCTGCTTGTACCTGTAGCAACAATATTGTAGACTGTCGCGGTAAAGGTCTCACTGAGATCCCCACAAACCTGCCAGAGACTATCACAGAAATGTATGTGCACTGCGATCTTTCCTATCCCTCTACCTCCCCACTGAACAAACCATGGTTTTTTTTAGGAGATTCTGGGTTTATTAAAGGCACATCTGATCAATTAGCTTAGACAAATGTTCTCTTCAGAAGTGTATTGACCCTTACTCTGTTTAATTAAGTACCTTGTTAAATTGCCTAGGATTTTTCTCCATAGGCAGAATTAAAGGAATACATTTAAAGAAAGAATAGTGCTTTTTCTTCCCCTTTAAGAAAAAGTGTTCTTAGGCTATTTAGGGAGAAAAAAGAGATGTACCTAGTTCAAACTTTGGGGACCGAATATTTGCTTTTGTCCTTTTCTAGCTTAAAGCAGTAGGGATACAAAGAGGGACTCAGCTGGGGAGAATAAACCATAGAAGCAAGTTAACAAGATGAGGAGGTCCTGACTTCTCAAGAGCTCATGTTTTAAAATGAAGTTACATTACTTTGTTGGAATGGTTAGTCCAATGCACACTATAAAATGGATATTATGATGTCAAGTCAAGTCCCACCTCCATCAAAAACAAATTATTTTGATGAAGTAATGCATACATATTTTGTATGCAGCTGCTGAATGCATTTCTGTGTTCTTGCCAGAGATAAGTCATGTGGAAAAAAACAAGGTCATGTAAGACTTAAATGGAATGCTTTTACCATCCCGAGAAGGAAGCACTAGGGGGATCTTTACCTCAATATCCATTAATTAAAAGGCTCCTCTAAACACCCAGCCCATCATATCATTGACCAATTCTAAGTCACAACTCAGTAAATGATTTTTTTAGATATTTTTGATTGAAGTAATAATATAGAACCAACTTCTTGTGAAAGGAAAAAAATAAAGATAAAAAACTTTTTTTAAAAAAACTGTTCTATATTTTTAAATTTCTATAATAAAGTAACTACTCTAGTTTATTTGAGCGTAACCTTAGTTTAGAAGATCCACTGCCATTATTTTAAAGTAATGCACATTGAATAGTATGCTCAGAGCTTTGGAGCATAAGTCATAATACTTTGCAAACTCTGAAATCTGTGAAGATTTGACACATAGCCCAAATAACATATGCATGTGATGATAGTATTTGCAGCAAAGTTTTAATTGATGAAATAATACGTTAACTATAAGAACGATTTGTAGATATTTTTTAGTTGAACATTTAAAGAAGTATAAGGTCTGGTTTGGAAAGAGTCACATAATGTTCCTTGAAAGAGAAACATCAGAAAGTAGAGGAAAATGGTAGCAGTGAGTGAAATATTTGAGAGATTGTATAGTTGATCCTAATTAGAGTAATAGGTTCACACTGAGGCATCATAGAAAACAATGTCCAAAGAAAGACAACTGCATCTAATTTTAAAGCTGTGAGATACAGAAGGCTTTTAAGTTCTGTTGGAAAAGAGGAGATATGATGAAGTTGATAGTAAAGAGACGTGGTTTTTGAGTAGGAGAATTGTGTGTTCATCATCTATCCAAGCACGAGGATTATTAAGTAAATAATGGCACCATGAATTTTTCTGAGTTCTTCATTATATGACTAGAAAATTTGATATACAATTTGATAACTTGAAATGAGGTACAAAGTAAAAATGTTATAAGTGATGAACACAAAGTTGAAGTTATTACAGAGGGCAATAAGTAGAGGGCAAGACCCAGTCAGAACACTTCAGCTAATTGCAGGTTTGCCTGCCATATACTGACTCTGAGACAGGGCAAGTTACTTATTGTCTATGAGACTGTTTCTCCATCTGAAACTAAGTGTTCTTATCAGTTTGAAATGAAATCATTAACACATAGAGCTATATATGCTTAGCATATAGTAATTTTTCCATAAATGGTACTTCATTCCTGGAAGCCTTCAGGGGGAGGTAAAACCTGAGTTAAGCCTTGAAAGAACAATAGTGAGTACAAATACAGAGATGATCAAAGGGCTTTCAGAACTAGTAGTTCATCAGGAGCATCACAGTCAGGATAAAAGGACACAATACAATAAAACAGGAATTCAATTTGACATTTGATGTTGGACAGTGTAGAAGAAAATAAAGTTGGAAACAGGTTGCAGCCATTTCATGGAGGGTCTTCGTACTGTTCACATCTTAGACATTACGTGGGACGCATTTAAACACAGGAGTCTTAAGTGAGTCTTTCAGATGATTTGTCTGGTAGCTTTGTGTCAGTGATGTGGCAAAAGAAAGGAATGTAATACAAGGAGGCCTCTTAGGAAGCTGTTACATTGATCTGCAAGAGATGCCGGAGAACAGGAGCTAGTGGGGAACAGGAGGAATAGTGGAATGGAGACGAATACAGTACCTAGTATAGGAGCAGAATTAATGGGAGTTGGCATTTGATGAGATGAGGGAATAATGGAGAAGGATGAACCAAGATGATGCCAGCCTTCCAAGCACAGGTGATGGGGAAGTGGCAGTTCTATCATTGCACGTGAGGAGCTGAGGAGCAAAACCAAACCTGGCAAGGGACGTGAGGGTGGGCTCAACCTGTGAAGTATGGAAGTGCCAATGGCTCTGCTAGAGGTGCTAAAATGATGTGACCTACCTTAGGTCCAGAGCAAGACAAGGACCAGGGGCAAAGATTTTGGAGTAGTTAACCTAACAAAAACAAAGGTGATATTTAAAGCCTTTAAGTGTCTAAAAGAAGAGCAAGAGAAGACCAAGGGCCCACCTACGTCTAGGAAAGGGAAGTGACAGGGAAGGCAGGAGGGGGCCTCCAGGAAAAAAAATGATCTGCTGAGGGAGGCAAGAGACTGCTTCGAATAAACCAAGCTGTGTTCTGAAAAGCAGTCCTGGAATCTGATCAGCATACAGAGGATCTACTTCTAATAGGGTGATAGATAAGTCAGCCACCTTTTCAGAGTGTTAAGAAAGGGAATGTTGAAAATATTGGAGATGGCAGGTGCAGAGAAATTGGAAGAATTTGAGAAAGGATTCTTGGAAAACAATGTTGCTCTGAAGAACAAACTTTTCAAGATGCAGAAACCTGTGATTTTAGAAAATAAGAAAGAAAGAATGGAGTGACGAGGGTGTGAGAGTTAAATAAGATATATATGGGAGCAAGATCTTCTGAACACAAGAAGAAAATGATCAGATACAATCATAGGAAAGGAGAACAAAAGCAGTTTTATAGAGTGACAAAGGAAGAATAAGTTACAGAAGAAATAATATAATGTATTGATAGCAAAATGGAATATTTGAAATGGTTTATCTTAGGCAGTCTGTTTTATTTTTTAATCTCGGGGCTTGTCTTCTACTTAGTATAATCTATAGATTTTATGTAATGGTGGAATTGAGTAGTATGGAAATCATACTAAATAATACATCCCATTGAGTTTGCCCATATTGAGGTGGTGGAGTATCAGATAAAATTACCATGAATTAAATATATGTGTAAAGATGAAAGCATATTTGAAGCTGTAGGTGAATTTTACTTTCCTGATTATTACATTTATCAGCTTTATCAGTAGAGCATCTTAGTAAGAGAACATATTGATCTTTAACACAAATGAGGTACGTTCATTCTCATTTATTATAGCAACATATCTTACTTCCTTAGTGACTTATTTTTCTCATTACTGTTTTACTTTTTATAAGAATAAAGAACATAGGAAAGTTTAATAAAATGGAAATAAAATTATTATATATGACATATTTAATATGCATAAATTCCAGGGTTTTAATACCTGATGAACTGAAAATTATAAACTCCCTTTATACTATTAAAATATTATACTATTAAAATATTTATACTATTAAAATATTTAAATTATATTACACTATTAAAATATTTAAATTATACTATTAAAATATTTAAATTATCAGTAGTAGAATTCCTTTATTTCATGTCATCAGATTTTTTTAAATAGTGAATTCTTTTTCTGTTGTGTGGAATATCTATTTTTGCAGCTTTCTCATAATTCTAAAAAAATGTATGTATTTTATGTACTGTAGAGAAGTGATCAACTCTTATAAATCTAGGTACATAATCATGAGAGTCTTTATTTTTCTTTTTCATGTTTTCAACTACAGAACCATTCTGTGGCACCTGCTAAAAAATTATTTGTTAAGCCATAGAAGAAAAATATTCTTTTAAAGACAAAATTTGAAGAAGGAAAAATAGAAAGAGGCTAACATGTGTCTAATAACTTCCATGTAGAACGCTACACAAGCATCATATAATTTCAGCTTCTCATTGTCCTGTTATGGACTGTTTATGAAATTAAATTAAGTTAAATAGAGAAAATAATGCAGAAGAATGTGTTAGAAAACAACTGGTAGATTTATCCACAAATCCTCTTTATACTGATGATTGTGCCTTGGTCTAGGATCTGCCTTCCTATTTGTGGACTAAGAATCTGATTTTGACTACACTTAATTATCACATCTTTTAATTATATATTTATTTTGTGGTTATTTTTTAGCATCTGCCTTCATTGCTAAACTATAAGCTCTATGAAGCCAGAAACTAGTTTGATTCTGATCACCACTGAATACCCATCAACAGATTTAGCACCTTCGTGCATGGTAGACACTTGATAAATATTTGATTAATACCTATTGGATGAATGGATAATTTTAAAATTTAATTAAACATTTAGCGTGGGATTTATCTTGAAAAGATATAGCTATACTAATATTAATACATAAAACTATAAGAAACAGCCTATTATCTCCCTGCAACAAAGTTGTACTTTAGAAGGATTAAAGCAGTAAGAGAAAAGTTATACAAATAAAATGTTTAATAGCATTAGCTTAAATGGGGCCTGGATATTGAAAATTAATTAAGTTCACCCATTCCCCATAAGGGTTTGGATTCCACTCTTTACATGTTTCCAATATTCTTTTTCTTTACTCTGAGCTGACCAATTCAGCTTTTAATCACTATGCTTCTTCTTCAGATATGAATCAAATTTAACCATACAAATGAGTCTTGGCCATCTTTCTCTAAAGTCAAATTTTCTCTCAAAGCAGACTATAGACCT